TTTCTCGACCTCGATATGATCTGATTTCTTGTTCACCGGCCTATTCAACTTCTCAGGTTTTTTATATGCTTTGGTTTCGTCTTCAAGACAATCCTGAACAGCATTTCTAAATACCGACATATCAACCGTCTCCCTTTGCGTGGGCGAGCCATCGTCGGATAAGTAACCTGCCATTTGAGATATACATGAGGACCCACAACTCGAAAATTGGAATCCAAGTTTTTTTTTTTTTAGCGCGGATGAATAGTTCCTCAAGTGAATGTAAAAAATGAGGATTCGACGGCGTACCCGGTGAATGGAGTGAGGGAGAAGTCGGAGGAGTTTCCAAAACCCTGTCTTGAAGGGAGAGGAGGAGATCGAGATCGAGGTCGTCTTGGTGTTTCGTCATGGTTCCCGAAAATCGAAATACAGAGGGCTCTTGGGGAAGAAAAGGGCTTCTCAGTGCCAATGGCATAGCTGTGTGAATTTAGGAACTCGTCGTCAATTCGAACTTCAAGAAAATGGCGGGAGGCATGAAAGTTTTGGAGGGAACAAATTTGTATATCCGTGTACGCATGTCTGTATTTGGCGTTATACCAATTACTGATTTTAAAAAGTACTCATCGATCCTAATTATAAGACCCAATTGACTTATTTAAGGAAATTAAGAAAGTAAATTAAATTAGTTATTTATAATAAATAAGTGTTGTCATTTCTAAAATATCCTTGCTAATTAAGTATATTGGCTAAAACTATCATTATTAGGAGGATTATCTTGGAAAAAAATGCATAAATATAAGAGATAAAATGGATTGGGGTCTTATAATTAGGACCAAATAAAAAGTCAAATTGGGTCTTATAATAAGGACCGGAGGAGTATTTTTTTATAAAACGAAACAATATCTTTCACATATTTATTTTATATATCGTAAAAAATATTTTTAAAATTATAGTTTTTTTTCACCCAAAAACATTTCAACTTAATGGTATACACTGCCTCTGTTTTGACACGTAAACTTCAACTCTGAAAAACAATCTTGCATAATTTATAAACTTCATTTTGATTTTATTTGAATATTTAAAAAAATTTTAGTTTTATCTTTAATTGATTGTATTTAGTGTTTTATTTTTTCCAATAACCATGCCATGAATAGCATTAATTAGAAAGATGGCTAGCTTGATTTCTTGGTCTAGGATATGTCATCTCATATATTTTCTTTCATTATTTATTGTCTATCTCAATTACTCTTATAATAAATAAGGGCAAATTTTTTAAAAAAATATTTTTATTTATTTATTGTCTTTAACTAATTTTAATTTTTTATTCATTAAACGTAATTTGATTATTTAAAACTTATATATAAGACTAGAAGGAGTATGTATTATATGTGCTCGTGTATATTGATTTCCAACAAATCAAACTATTCATATTTTTTAAAAGTATAATTAATTTCTTAAACATTAAAAAATTAACTGGTCATGATCTTTAAGGAAAATAACTTTAAAATACTTATTAAATTTAAAAAAATCAAATAGGTCATACAAATAAGTGAAAGAACCAAATGAGTATAAAGCGTAAAACTGTAATTTATAGAATTTCATGAAAAGACTAAAATATCATTGGAGTTACATGAACAGCATAAAAAGATTTTGCCTTTCAGTGTTATTATAATCAAACGAGCCTTTGACAGCATTTGCAAGTGATTGACAACTTTTGAATTGAATTTGACCAATTTCGTAACACATTTTGCAATATGTTATCATCCATTTACAGACTTGGTGAAACTTGGGGATTGAGTATAATAAAATTACTAAATATGTAATATGATTAACAACTTACGGAATGTAATTGACTATTTTCACAGCGTAATCTATTATTGGCTATTTTTGAATAATCCATTAATAACATGATTAATAACTTACTAAATGAATTTGACCATCTTTATAATGTGTTTTGTAACTTGTTGTCAGTTACTTCTAAATAATTTTACTAAACATGTAACATAATTAACAACTTGCAAAATAAATTTGACTATTTGCATAACACGCTTTGTAACTTGTTGATAGTTATTTCTAAACATATTTACTAAACATGTAATGTCATTAGCAACTTGCAAAATAAATTTAACCATTTGCATGACACGCTTTGCAACTTACTAATAGTTATTTCTAGACATATTTACTAAACATGTAATGTGCTTAATAGCTTGTAAAATGAAATTGACTATTTCTATAACGCGTTTTGCAACTTGTTGTTAACTATTTTCAAACAATTTTACTAAACATATAATGTGATTGATAGCTTGCAGAATATATTTAACAATTTTCATAATGCATTTTGCAGCATATTATTAGTCATTTCCACACATTGTGCAATTTGGGAGGTTGAGTTAGACAAATTGACTAGACATATAAAATGATTAACAACCATAAAAATGCATTTGATCATTTCCATACTATTGATTTGGTCAACTTCTACCAAGTATAACCTCTTGAAAGAATTAAAAAAGGGTAAATGTTTTGAGAAATTAGTACATGGTTGACAAATACACTAGAAGTATATCATAATAAATGTATTAACAGTAACTTTCATGATTTACTACACTTGTAATGGAGTTGACCACTAAAGTAATAGTATTTATAAAAAAATCAATAATTTTATGACAGCAACTACATTGTATATATTCAAATGTCAAATTAACATTAAGATTAAACTTGCATTTAGTATTTTCTTGTTATTAAAGTCATAAAACATATCGCATTCACTACCCATCATCCACAAAAGGGCAAAAAATCACAGGATTCTATGGATGACATTTAGTTGCTTATGAGCTATAAACTTAGCCTTCATTCTTCGTGCCAAAACACCCAAAGCCACAATCATCATTAGTCACAATAGCAGTACAGCAATCGGTAGAGGGGAGAAGGGGAAATAAGAGGCCCAAGGCATAAATGTGTTTTTCGAGCAGCATGAGGAAGCCTGAGAAATAAAAAAAAAATTTATTGCATGACTGAAGAATGACAACACAAGGAACACTAAGGTAATCAAAATAGGGAACACGAATAACAGATAAACCAGAGTTAGAAGTTCTACGAGGGGCAATTTGAAAGTGAGGAGAGGACTTGTAATTGTTATCGAGGAGAACAACACTGAAGGGAGAGAGGAGCTCTTTCTCATTCTACAACTTAGGGAGTGTTTGGATAAAAACCAAACCATGGTTTCAGAAGTGCTTTTACGGATTACGAAGTAAATATGTGGAGGAGGTTACCTCGTTTTGTGGAAAAGTGCTTCTGAAACTACGGATTTGGAGCATCCAAACAGAGCCTTAAGGGAGAGAAGAAGAGGAAAATGGAATTATGAAATGAGAGAAAAGGCATGAAAATAATTTATCAAAATTTACAAATTCCAATTTAAACTTACAGACTTATTTGTCTTTTGTCAAACTAGAATCACTAACTTAAAATTTAAGAATTCAAATGGTATTTATATGGGATTTTTTCTCATTTTTATGCATTGATTTAAGTAATAACAAATTAAATTCTATAATATTTCTCTAAACTTTGAAGCAGATGACGAGGAAAAAAATATCAACAAAAAATTGTCCTAAATTATAAACTTTGATCATGAAGTCTTAGAACTTGGACACTTTTATGCAGAGTTTTTCAATTAAATCAATGCATTATTTACGTGCGCGTAACTTTCTAAATTTTAGATTAATACGCAAGTAAATGAAATAATCTCCGTAAATATCATATTATTGCTTAATCTTTATCTATTGGCGTTTTGCGTTCGGTTGGAAACCTCTCTTCTTCCTTTCTTATCCTCTGTTCTCTTTTTATTCTTCTAACTATTAGATTAACAGATTTTAAATGTTAAGATTTTAATTTTTTTAAAATATTCAGTGCATTAACAAACCATTAGAATTATATTTTAATATAGTTTGTAATTTTATTTATTTATTTTTATAATTTAACATTTTAATAATATTAAAAAAATTTAAATCTAAACTGTTAAAATATTAGTCTAATAGTTAAAAAAAGACGAAAAGACGAGAAGATGGGAAGGAAAAAATGGAAGTTTCAAAGTGTTTTGCATGAATAAATATAGGCCTTGACACATGCTATCAGTGAACACAAAAATATATTTCTAACTTATTTATTACTTTCAACTAATTCTAACTGATTTTTTGTTGTCTACAAATTAGTTATTTGAGATTTATAATAATAACCAAATGAGATAATAAATTTCTTAACTTTTTCTGTTTCCATGTTTTAAAAGCTATAAGTCATAAGTTATTAATTTTAGCTTATGGCTTATTGTAGCTTTTTATACAAAAATCACATTGCCTAATTGCCCATCCAAATAGTATCCAAATTTCCAATCAGGTTTGTGCCTAATTTAAACTACTTTTCACCCCTGAAAAGCACAACCAAACAGGTACACAATGTTCATGACTCCTTTTTTGTTTTCCTTTTCTGGGCCAGAGAGCAATACTGTGGTTTGTTTGCTAAATCTTATCATAACATATCACTTTACCTAGTAAAATCCTCTCAAAGCACAACATTAATTGGAGAAACAAAAAAGAATTAAATTAAGCACACTTGACTCGATTCTCATTTTCCAGTCTCTCTTGTCCGATTCTCGCGCAAACATTACTCCTCCACAGACAAGGTTCGTTGTCTGCTTCACTTTAAAATAGAAATAGCCACGGAACAAATATTCTGAAAAAGGAAAATGCGATATTTCCTCTAAGCCCATAGTTTTATCAACCTTACTCTATTTTTGTCCCTCCGATGCAATTCTCTTGCCACCTTTATGAGTGTCTCCAGGATATTCGACAGACAGACTGCCAGCCAGCTTGATTATTTGCTTATTAATTGTTTGAAGCAAGAACTCCTTTTATTTTCTGACGACTTATGAAAGAAGAGAAATAACTCAGGCTCTTTTTTGGAGCAAAGGAGTGTAGAAAGATACATATATAGATATCACAGAGAGATAGGTATATACATGTGTGTTGTGAATGGCGTCTACAGGCGGAATAACCCTTTTAGCTGCCTTGCTTGCCATCATTGTTTCACTGTCGCATGCTGATGCTGGAGAAAAGATTACAGTAACTTATGATGGAAGGTCATTGTTGTTCAATGGAAAGCGAGAGCTTTTGTACTCGGGTGGCATCCATTACCCCCGAAGCCCACCCGAGGTTTGATTAATTCTTCTCTTAATTCACTTCCTTTCTTGATGCCTTTTGTTTCCTAGAGCCAAATAAGCGATAATGCGAAATAAATTCATGGTTTGTTCAGATGTGGCCAGACATTCTTGATAAGGCAAGACACGGCGGTTTGAATGTGATCGAAACTTACATCTTTTGGAACGCTCATGAGCCCGTGAGAGGCCAAGTAATGTGATGTTTTATATATAGACTACTGAGCCAGAGTCTCAAGTGTTTTCTTTTCATTTGTCCCCCCCCCCCCCCCCGGGTAAACGTTCGATTGGACAATGATGTGCTTCCTGGTGCAGAGGAACTTTGAGGGAAGCAACGACGTGGTGAAGTTTCTGAAGCTCGTTCAGGAGAAAGGAATGTACGTATGCCTCAGAGTTGGTCCTTTCATCCAGGCTGAATGGAATCATGGGTATGAAACTGACTCTTCATATAACAGTCACATAATATAATATAGATCATTTCCGGATTATAATTAATACTGACTAATGTCTACAATGGTAAAATATAAATAAAGAGGGCTCCCATACTGGCTGAGAGAGGTTCCGGATATCGTATTTCGTAGTGACAACGAACCTTTCAAGGTAATCTCCATAACTGACAAGCTTTGGTTTTGATCAAGAACCCGCATCATTAAAGAATGAAAATCTCATTTTATATTTGCATCAGAAATACATGCAAGAGTTCGTGGTATTTATTATAGACAAGTTGAAGGCCGAGAATCTGTTCGCTCCTCAAGGAGGGCCCATCATCATGGGACAGGTTAGGATCTGATTCCTCTATATGATAGATTTCCGCGAGGGACCTCCTTATATGCATACATGGTCGAATCTACTTGTTTAAAGAAACCTTGGCTGCTGTTTAAATAATCTATTTGCTGCAGATTGAGAATGAGTACAACCATGTCCAACGAGCATTCAGAGAGAAGGGAGACAGTTACGTTCAATGGGCAGCGAAACTGGCAGTAGGATTGAATCTTGGTATTCCATGGGTCATGTGCAAGCAAACGGATGCGCCTGATCCAGTGGTAAGAATTCCCTGAAATGTCTGTTTAAGCATCAGTTTGATTTTATTTTTAATTCCAATTCCCTAGACTTAGCTTAGCCTTGAGCTTTCCGCAGATCAATGCATGCAACGGAAGACACTGTGGCGATACCTTTGCAGGCCCCAACAAACCAAACAAGCCTTTCATCTGGACTGAAAATTGGACGGCTCAGTAAGTTCCATCACATCTAGTCTTGCATCTTCATACATCATGATCCTTCCCCTAAAATAAGGCAAGAAAGCAATTGAAATAAATAAACGCATTTGGTGGTTAATTTCTAAATTACAGGTACAGAGTGTTTGGAGATCCTCCATCCCAAAGATCTGCAGAAGATATTGCCTACTCAGTCGCTCGCTTCTTTGCTAAGAATGGAGCTATGGTTAACTATTATATGGTACTGATTACTGAACTTGGCTTCCCCGAAAAAACTCATCGTGTGCAAATCTAACTGGTGCTATACTAGTGTTCTTTTTTAATTTGAAGCATGCATGCGTCCTGCTTGCAGTACTACGGGGGAACAAATTTCGGAAGAACAACCTCCGCCTTCACAACTACTCGGTACTACGACGAAGCTCCTCTGGATGAATACGGTCTGCAGAAAGAACCCAAATGGAGTCACCTTCGGGATGTGCACAGGGCTATAAACCTGTGTAAGAAGGCTCTCTTGGAAGGCAAACCCACCGCGCAAAAGTTGAACGAATTCCACGAGGTAAGCATTCATTCTTCGTCCCACAGGCCACAGATAGGTACAGATCATTCTTACAGACTGATTTGAATACGGATGGATGAATGCAGGTCATAGTCTATGAGAGGCAAGGAAGCGATTTGTGTGCTGCATTCTTGACCAACAACCATACCGAGAATGCCGGTACCATAAACTTCAGGGGTCAGGAATATTATCTGCCCTCGCGTTCCATTAGCATCCTCCCTGACTGCAAGACTGTAGTATACAACACTCAAACGGTATATAACTTGTTTATCACTTTACAACGACACAAAATTCTGCCCATGTGTCCTCCTAACTGCTGCCAACATAACCCAGATTGTTTCACAACATAATTCGAGGAACTATAATACCGCCGCAAGCAAACTTGATTGGGAGGTGTATTCCGAAGCCATTCCGACTACCAAGGAAGTGCCGGTCGATTCAGAGCAACCTAGAGAGCTTTACAACTTGCTGAAAGACGCCAGCGACTATGCTTGGTACACCACACGGTTAGTCCTTTCCATGTCTCTCGTTCTATCAATCATGGCGTAACTATTTTCCTTTTCCTCTCCATCCCTAACGGATTATTATTCCAGAATCGAGCTGGGTCCCGAAGACTTGCCGAGGAAGAATAGCATACTTCCCGTTCTCCGCGTGGTTAGTAATGGCCACGGAATGCTCGCATTTTGCAATGGTGTATTCATCGGTAAGCAAACTCAAAAAGGTCATTTAATAATAATAATAGTATTATTATCAATCATCCCATGTGAGAGACTCATGCTAGGTGTTAATCTTGTAATTTAATGGTTTCTAAAGGAGCTGCACACGGTAGCCACGAAGAGAAAGGTTTTGGATTGCAAGTGTCCGTAAACCTTACGGTTGGGGTTAATCAAATAACTTTCTTATGTTATACAATAGGGCTGCCTGTGAGTGCCTTTCAACTTTACGATTTGAATCTCTTTCATTTAATTCGTCGTTGGTAATGAAGGACACTCGATCAACTTTCATAAACTTACAACAGGACAGTGGTGCGTACATGGAACACAGGTTCGCCGGTCCTACTCGCATCACCCTCCTCGGTCTTAACACAGGAACAATTGATCTTACCGACAATGGTTGGGGTCATCAGGTAAAATCCACTGCTTCCCATGATCCTAAGCACACAAGAACTCAGATAATAATGGAGATGACGTCATCGATTTTGGCCAGGTTTCTATCCAAGGAGAAAAGCAGAACATTTTCACCGAAGAGGGTGCAAAGAAGTTCCAATGGAAGAAAGCCACTGGAGAGGGACCCCCTGTCACCTGGTACAAGGTAATCAAATGGAAAATATGACATGGTTTGCATTCCTAAAAACATAGCGAGCGAGCTTATTTGTGTTCAATTCATTTACAGGCAAGATTTGCGACCCCAGAAGGAAGGGACCCCGTTGCGATCAGGATGACTGGCATGGGAAAGGGACAGATATGGATAAACGGTAAGAGCATTGGCCGTCACTGGATGTCATACCTCTCCCCTCTGCGACAACCCAGTCAGTCGGAGTACCACATCCCGCGAGCTTTCTTGAATAAAAAAGACAATCTTGTCGTCGTGTTGGAGGAGGAGAAATCAAACCCCGAAAAGGTCGAGATCGTGCTCGTGGACAGAGACACGATATGCAGTTACATCACAGACGCACACCCACCCAATGTGAAGCAATTCGCCAGCAAGAAGATGAAATTGCACGCGATAGTGGACGATGTGAAGACTGAAGCAGGCTTGAAGTGCCCTAACTTTAAGAAGGTGACGGCTGTGGAATTCGCGAGCTTCGGCGATCCTCAAGGTGCTTGCGGAGGCTATGACATAGGGACATGCAATTCGCCCGCAGCGAAGCAAGTTGTGGAGCAGCATTGTATGGGCAAAAGTAATTGTACGATTCCTATGGACCCTTCATTATTCCCCATCTCCGGCAATCCCTGCCCGCAGGGCAGGCCCTTGGCTCTCGCTATTCAAGTGAAGTGTAGCCGCTAGATGTCAGCTGCTTTCAAGGCCAAAGTAGATTGCCCTGCTTTCTTTCTCTTCTTCCAAGGGCACCATGGATTAGGTTCTACCCAGCATGGATATGCTGTTCGTTTTTATGCTTCTTTTAGAGTAATAACACTTGAGATGAGATTGTTTCTTTGATTCCAATCAATGAGAAATTTTATTCATTTTTAAAAACCCTCCCGTTGTGAGTATCTCTCCTCAGCTTCTACATATCCATATCTTTAAACTGCATATTGCTCTTTTTCCTTAGTGGATTCTCCCTGTTATTCCAAATTTAATATAAATATTATAAAGACTCGTGTTATTCATAAATTATAATGATATGACTTAACAGTTGCTTTTTGACACGGGTAAAGTATCACGGATCAGAATGTTGAAATGATGGCCAAAGAAATCTATGAAGTTGTACTAGTCTTGATGCAGGCATGGTTATTATAACATCCGACTGCAAGCTCCGCCGTGGAACGCACTGACTATTTAATATTATTTTTATTTTGCAATGAAAACCTGGCTTGGTGATTAAGAAAACCATAGCATATCAAAGAATTCAAAGGTATTATGATTTGTGTTTGAGAAGCCCTTGGAGACATAACTTGGTCATGACTTGCTCTTTGGCCTCCAATATTCGAATTTCGACGTGCCACGGTACTTACTGATTCGACTGTTCTCGTAATATTAGGTTCTTTGTGCTGGACTCCTTAAATTTCTCTGCCCTTTTTTTTTCCCCCTTTTAAGAATGGGATTGGTGTAATTGTGTCCGGTTAGGTATTACTTTACATTTAACAGGTCAAGCCTGTTTTGAAGCCTATTGGATTGAGTTTGGTTTATGACTTGTCATAAGCATTATATTCATTCTAAGCCTGATTTGTATAAAGATCCAGCGTGGCCTAAAAATCTATTTAAAAAACCTGTATTTTTAAAAGCGTACACAGATTGATCCAAAATTACAATAACTCAATTGAAATTATCTAAATTTAAAATACAAACATAAAATATGATACTACATTTGGTCTTTAATATAAAAGTTAATTGACTAATTTGAGTAAATTAAGAAAAGTAATTAAGTTAGTTATTTGTAGTAAATAGATGTTGTCTTTCTAATATATCGTTGCTAATCAAATGTATTAGTTAAAATAACCATAATTACAAAGACTAGATTAAAAAAAAGGATAAATATGAAAGATAAAATGGATTGAAATATTATATTGAGAACTAAAATAAAAGTCAAACAAACTCTTATATTAATAACTGAGAGTAGTCTAATATGATCAATTAACAAGATATAGCCAAATTAAGGTCTCCAGCAACTACAGGACAAACATGTTCCATTTATTTCTCAAATAAAAAGGCCTAAAACGTGACCACAAAAGCCTAAAGGAATCAACCCAAAAACCAAATTAAGGTCTCCACAACTACAGTAACAAACATGGTCCATTTATTTTTCAAATAGAAGGCCTATTGTGGCCACAAAAACCTAAAGGTGACCCGATAGACACATTCAGAGAGTGTATATGTTTGCATAACTCTTTTCAAAGTTTTAAAAATTAAACGGGTTTGTGCTAAGTGCTGGTCAAAAAAAAAAGGGTTTGTGCTAAGTGTTCCCTAAATTATACTCCTCCGGTCCTAATTATAAGACCCAATTGACTTATTTGAGGAGATTAAGGAAGTAAGTTAAGTTGGTTATTTATAATAAATAAGTATTGTTATTCCTAAAATATCCTTGCTAATTAAGTATATTGGCTAAAACTATCATTATTAGAAGGATTATCTTGGAAAAAAATGTATAAATATAAGAGAGAAAATGGATTGGGTCTTATAATTAGGACCAAATAAAAAGTCAAATTGGGTCTTATAATAAGGACAGGAGGAGTATATAATTTTTACTTAGTTGACAATTTTTACATCATTTTTTGCAATAACTTGTTCAGCTCAGACAAAAAAAAGCAATGACTTGACAAGCAGCTAGACCTATTTCTACCATAGACTACAATAGAAAGCCTAGCATATAAAACAATGTACAAATGTCAGCTCAAAAAAAAAAAAAAAAGACAGCGTACAAATGGAAGGATAAAGATGGAACGGCGTGGGGACGCCATCCGGCGGTGGGGCGGAAGTGGCGCGCTTTGCTTAATGCTTTGATGTGATCGTCTCTTCGCCAAAAACAGCATTGCTAATCACATCCGCGTCCCTTGGCCCAACGTACCCCTCCCGTCACCTTTTAGTTAGTTTTACCCCTTAATATCTGTATTCACTATTACTCCACAGGGAACCGGTTTAGTTGCATTATACTCATCCAAAAATAAATAATTTCTCAATGGCTGGCCTGTTATAAATTTTAAAGTTTTATGTTGTTGTTCCAGCTGATGCTATTGATTTTTAGCTCATTTGAAATTATGATTATAAGTACTCATAAACATATTTTACATAAGTCAAGATAAAACTCTTATCATATATTTAAATTATATACTGTAAATCATAATTGAGTACATTTGTTTATACATTTTTTCATTTCTTCAATCATGTTGCAGCAAAATAAAACTCGTTTGCTATGGAGTATGGACAGAATGTTTGATGAATTATGTTTGTCTATTTGACCGCGCTCAGTCTCGACAAACGAGTTTAAAGTTTAAACACAAAAGGGCTAGTAAAAAAATTATTACTTTTAGTCTTAATTATAAAATCTTATTTATAATTTATAAATAAAGTCTTATAATTAAAACTGAAAGTAGTGTGATACTGAAAACATATAAAGTTTAATAAATTCCTTCTGTTCCTTCTATTTCCTTTTTTTATTTTTATTTTAGAAAATAAAGAATACAAAATCATTTAAAATGTGTTTTGATTGTATGCTATGAAAAAACAAAAAGTTAGAAGATGAACTATCTGTTAATCTCAGCTTTTCTATTTGCAGCCAGCGTATTCTGAACAAGTCACGTATTTTTATTCTGTGCGCGTTTGAACTTTGAATTTGGAAATTTCTTTTTTTTTTTTTAAATCTAAGCAGATACTACGGTTAAAAAAAAAAAAAGAAGGAAAAATAGAGAATTACGGCATCCTAGGAGAGGGGGGAAAATCTGAAGACTTTATTGAGAAGTGATTTATGTACTTACGGATCTGGACATATCTGCCGTCTCAGGATCTGAGATACTGAATTTGACGCTCCATATTCCGTTGGGGGGGGGGGTTAGAAATCCGCGAGAAGAGTGGCCGCTGTCCCGTCCCAGAACTTGACCCGCAGGATCGGGCTGTGTCTTTGCCGACATTGCTCGCGCCACGTGGAGATTTGGCACGCCGCATCCGATTCTTTCCTTTGGGTGAGCCGCACCAAATGCGTTGTCTGTAAATTAATTCCCCATTTTTATCTTGTAACGTCAGAATCAAAATTACGTAATGAGGCTTTGCCTTCTTCGCCCGTCACCGTCACAGTTCACAATAACTACGCCTCTTCGACGGCTCTTTTCATCTTTCTTCATTCATTTGCCGACTGCCCCACCCCGTTTTCAAAGTAACTTACTCTCATTTTATGAACTTTCAACCCTTTTACTATTTTTTTTTTTCTGCTTTAAATTCTATTTATCATTGTCCATCCGTTTTGTGGATAGAGTGATGGACTCAGCCACTTGGGAAATAACGTTTAGCGTCGGATGCATTTACTAGATTAGTAAGGAGGAGAAAATTGGTGCCCTGGGTGACTTCATTCTGGGCGGGTGACCTGCCGGAAGCCGATTTCAGATGGGTTTCATCAGCACTGTGCTGGGCTTCTGTGGATTTGGAGTCGGGATTTCTCTTGGTCTTGTTGGTGGCTATTTTCTCTTCATCTATTTTCAACCCACCGATGTCAAGGTACATCGATTCTTTTTTTTTTTTTTTTCGGTGAACTAAGTGTGAAAAGTACATCTAAGATTCTTAATGCTTTATCTTGGTATATCATCGTCGACCTTCATTTCTTCGGCGGGAAGTCATACTTGTTTTTCTGATTCTGTTTGGTTCGGAGAAAGCGAGAGGAGCAACTAAGATGCTATCACCTTGTGCTCTCGCGTCAAACTTTTTAGGTTAAATTATGCAACTAGGCCGTGCTAGATGGGTTTCTTTGTTCATGTGAGTGATCGGAGGAAGAATGGACATAGGCCGGGCATTTTATTATTTCGTTCTAAAAGGTCGCGCATGAGAATGCTCTGCTTTTTTGCTTTTAACACTGGTTTTATTGCTTAGATAATCAAATGGCTGGTTTTTCTGCATTCGAACATAAGTTAGACAGGACTAGACTGGACTGGAGTTTCATCATAATGACTAAATCAAAAACTTAGAGCACCCAAAGTGTCATTTTGCTATTTGGGAAGTTCACCAGTTCTGCGTCATGTTATCTTAGCGTCACTGATATCCTGCTGTCTTGGACAGGATCCTAAGATCCGTCCTCTGGTGGAGCAAGACTCAGAAACTTTGCAACGTATGTTTCCGGAGATTCCGCTTTGGATTAAAAACCCAGACTTTGATCGGGTATTTAATTGTGGAGTTTGATATGCCTCTCTATCTTATGGATTATGCATTTTAATGTTTCGTTTTCACAACTGCACTTTCATTTGTTTGTGCTTTTCTATAGCTTGACTGGTTGAACAAGTTCCTTGAATATATGTGGCCCTACCTTGACAAGGTATAAGTTCTTTTCAAATGTCTGATCGAATAATCAGGTTTTTATGTTCTCTTTGTTAATTGTTTATCTGCTTCTTCTTTTCCCCCTCGTTTTTATTAGGCAATTTGCAAGACTGCAAAGAACATTGCAAAACCCATAATTGCCGAGCAGATTCCCAAATATAAAATAGAGTCTGTTGAGTTTGAAACTCTTACACTAGGGTCCTTGCCGCCAACTTTTCAAGGTTAGTAGATATGAACACGATACATTCTTGGATAAGTAACTACTTGATGTTTGAACAGCACATTGCCGATTCCAGGGCTTTTCTAGCTCGTATTTTTCTATGTTATTGATTTTGGGAATGATAATGGCAATAAATTAACCGTTACTTGGTAAGGTTGGTTCTTCATTGATGGCTCATTTGCCACTTCATTTTTAAGGCCTTAAGTCTTGATTTATGGGCTAAGTTGGTATTAAATAAATAGTCCTCTCCTCTCGCAACCAAAAAAAATTTTCATAATGCTAAGACTAGAAATTAAGATCCAGTGTAGTCCTGATGGTACTTTTTCAATGTCTTGACAAATTAGTTGTGGTGCACGATGAAATATTTTAATGCCATATCTTATTCTTGACAGGAATGAAAGTTTATGTGACTGATGAAAAGGAGTTAATTATGGAGCCTTCTGTAAAATGGGCTGGAAATCCCAATATCACTGTTGGTGTCAAGGCATTTGGGTTAAAAGCGACCGCCCAGGTAATGCTATTGCAGATCTGTGGGTGATTTTGTGTGTGTGTGTGGTGTGTGTGAGAGAGAGAGAGAGAGAGAGAGAGAGAGAGAGAGAGGGCGGAACACAGGTATGATTGCCTCTTCTTAATGCAGAGGATTCTATGTTGTTTCAGGTGGTTGATTTGCAAGTTTTTGCTTTGCCTCGTATCACTTTGAAGCCTTTGGTTCCAAGCTTTCCTTGCTTTGCCAGCATATATGTGTCTCTCATGGAAAAGGTTTTTGATGGTTTCCTCCTCTTACTTTGCTTCCCCACTTGAATATTTATAAAGCTTTTTAGGTACTTAAAGCACAGGAAGTAGAGTATTTTGATTGCTTGTAATTATGACTCTAATCTAGTATAATCATGTTTAAATGAAGATTTCAGCACTGATAGAAGCGACTGTTAGTCGACACCAATGCTTTTGAAGTTTGTAACCGCCTACTGGATGATGAGAAAGTCATTTCTTTGTGTCAAAGAGGGTTTAGGCTGGGCTTGTCATTCAAATTTGGTTATAGACAATGCAATGCCTTTCTAATCAGTGGATGAAGTGCATGTTTTTGTCTACCTATGTTGTGTTTATATGCACATTGTCGCGTCTCCACAGTATCCTGAAAGCATTAAGAGAGTGATTGCACTGGATTATAAGGATTACGTGTTAAGGGACATTGGTAATCCTGGCAAACAGCTAAACTTGATTAGAAAGTAACAACTTTTTTATTGTTATTTACTAACGACTCTGAAGGACTACTCTTTCCATTCAGGTTGCAGATTGCTTGTGACATCATGATTTTTATGATTGGTACTTACCTTCTCAACCTTATTGTTGCCTTTTATGTTGCAGCCGCATGTTGACTTCGGGTTAAAGCTTGTAGGTGCTGATCTCATGTCTATTCCTGGTGTCTATCGATTGGTTCAGGTGCATGTTTAAAACCCCCCCCCCCCACCCCAAAAAAAAAAAAAAAATCCTGCAACTCGGGGGTTTTGTCTCTTTTTTCCTTTCTTAGTACGTGATATGCTAATTTCACACACCTAACTTATTTTGCTCCCAGGCAGTCTGGCAGTGTGGTAGCTAAATAATTTTCCTAACTCTTGGTACAAATAGATTAAATATTGGTCCAAGGGTATGTTATTGTAAAACATGCATCCCCTTGGTGTAAACCATTGATTATGCATGTCCTCTGATTGTATATGGGTGAGAAAGCTATTTCAAGGCCGCTTTCTGCATTCAAGTGGGAGTTCTATGTGCATGTGACTAGAAGCCTGATAGCTAAATTAAGAGTTGATATTTTAGGAGTCTATGTTGAAGGATTATGAATAAAAAGAAATGTAATGTAGGGAAGGCGGGTTGCATGGTTTGTATTGAATGATCAATGGCTTTCAAACAATTTAATGAGTGTTGTTGTGCAGGAGCTTATTAAAGACCAGGTTGCAAACATGTATCTGTGGCCCAAAGCTCTGGAAGTTCCAATTATAGATCCATCAAAGTATGTTTCTGCATTTTTTTCTGAGGATGTTTTTCCTAAACGCTTACTATTATTATTCTTCATAGACCCTAATTTTTTACTCGAATTTTTTGTTGGGAATATTAGAGCCTTGAAGAAGCCTGTTGGAATTCTCAATGCAAGGGTGCTGAGAGCTATTAAGCTAAAGAAGAAAGACCTTCTTGGTGCATCCGACCCATATGTGAAACTAAAGCTTACTGAGGATAAACTGCCTTCAAAAAAGACCACTGTGAAGCATAAGAACTTGAATCCTGAGTGGAATGAGGATTTTAATTTGGTGGTTAAAGATCCTGAGTCCCAGGCTTTAGAGGTTTATGTCTATGACTGGGAGCAGGTATATATGTTTGGCAGTAAGTTTTCATTCTACTGTTGCTTGTTATGCATCTGAGTCGTGTGTTGCATTGGCACCTTTTACTTAGGTTGGGAAGCATGACAAGATGGGCATGAATGTAATTCCATTAAAAGAACTTACTCCTGACGAGCCTAAAGAATTTACCCTTAACCTTCTAAAAAACATGGATGCCAATGATGTCCAAAACGAGAAATCACGCGGGCAGATTGTTGTGGAATTGACATATAAACCTTTTAAGGAAGAGGAGATGTCTAAGGGTTTTGACGAGACACAAACTGTTGAAAAGGCTCCTGAAGGTACGCCTGCTAGTGGAGGCCTGCTCGTAGTTGTGGTCCACGAAGCCCAAGATGTTGAAGGAAAGCACCACACTAATCCACATGTACGGATTCTTTTTAGAGGGGAGGAGAAAAAGACGAAGGTATGGTATCCCAGAATACTTGAGGCTTAAGAATCAACATGTTCTAGCTTAACCGTATTTTGAATCTTATATTATTGGCTTCTGTTAGGTTGCTTAAGACAGGTATTGACGTGGTTGGTGTGATCAAATGAATTTGCGAGCAATTCTTTCTTCAACTTCATTTTGCTAAAATAACTAAAAAATCAAATATGAATTTCATGAAAATTTGTTTCTTGTTGATTGCAATTATGCAAGTGATTGTTTGAAACTAGAACAGAATTTAATATGCCCAAAAGTATAGTTAGAAATAAATAGTGGGATCCATTGTGGATGCAGATCTCAGAAGCTCGTTTATTGATCTAGTAATTCGCTACCATTAGTAATATTTGTGCTGGACTTTTAAAACGAATGTTGGATGTTGGATGAGCTTAGATGAGATTAAGAGTTCACGTTAAGACGAACGTTGTTTGATCCCGATTTCTGTTACTTGGTTACTATTACAGCATGTGAAAAAGAACAGAGATCCTAGATGGGAAGAAGAGTTCACATTTACGTTGGAGGAGCCTCCCTCTAATGACAGATTACATGTAGAGGTTGTCAGCACCTCAGCACGCCACATACTGCATCCAAAGGTATGCAATCTGTACCTTACTCTTTATCAATGGAAATTAATTGTTGATTACTATTGGTATGATTATGAAGTGTAAAACAAGACGACTCATTCAGATTTTGGTTGTGATCATCTAATTCTAAGTGGTTTTGACAAGGAAGCCCTTGAGTGGTTGAAACAACTGATAAACTTGTCTGGCGAATCTGCACTAGCGTTTAGCATCTAAAACCCCGAATGTTTATAATATTTTATGATCATGCTAGAAATGATTTTATGTTCCTAATGCCTATGAAATGGACTCCATGAATTCTGAGAATCGTGTTACTTTGATTTTGCATTGATGCGAACTATAACAATTATAGACAGATAGTAGAGCTTTGCTTGAAGACTACGCCATCATTTTGTTTTCCCTCCCTTTTGTGGCGCTTGATGTGGCTGACTTTTGATTGATGTTTCTCTCTTCCTTTCGGCATTAGGAATATCTGGGTTATGTCGACATAAGTCTTGCGGATGTTGTGTCGAACAAGAGGATCAATGAAAAGTACCATCTTATAGATTCAAAAAATGGTCGCATCCAGATAGAGTTGCAGTGGAGAACTGCGTGAGGCGGCTGATAACATTCTCTATAGCTCTACACTTCTCCCTTCCCCACCTTTTTTTATTATTGTTGTTATTATTATTTTTCAAACTATTTCTCGTGTTTATTGGGGAGATGAAAGGAACTGAGGAGCGTTATTGAATTCTTTTCGTCCGGTAGATTGGTTTGTTTGCTTATCATGTACATGCCTATATAAATAAAAATGCTGGTTTGAAAGCAAGAGGCACTTGTGTGACTTGGATTGCTTATAAATTTTGAGTTGTGGACCTGCCTGCATGTTTGTCTTGTCGCTTTAGTATTTCATTATTATCATTTTGTATGACTTATGATGACCTTCCACTTTGCAGCTTTAGCTTGGCTTGGTCTGTAGTGTCTTGGATAATGACAGTGATTTGATTTGTCTTAGTGGTGTTTGACAACCATTAAAAGTGATTTTAAAAAGTATTTTTCTACAAAAACAAGATAAACTTATTATAAAAATATTTTTAAAATTATAGTTTGGTTTTTACTCGAACATTTTTTAAGTTTAGTAGTTCCTTCTTAAAAATAAAAAAGAGCATGGGGATGTTTCTTTGAACGAAGCCTGTTGTGTGTTCTTGTTTTGTTTTGCTTATTTTTACCCCTCCAAAGCCTCACTTTCATGCCGAGAAAGATTGAGATCAATGGAGGAAATCTAGCCCCGTGTATCATATATGTTTTATCCTTGTTTAATGAGCTCCAACACAAGACAATTAAAAAAAAAAGTTTTTTAAAATCACCAAATTAATGTGCGTGAGGGGATTTTATTATAAGAGATTTTACTTGTTTACTTGGCAACCTGTTTTTATTTTTTTAAAATATGGATTGATAATTGAAAGAACAGTTATTAACAATTTAAGACAACGATTAATTACTTTCTCTAGTTCAAAATATAGATTAGATTCTATCTATTTATGTTTATCAAAAAATTAATTAAAATTAACTTAAAATAATAATATGTAAGGTATATATTTATTTTTTCAAATATATCCTTATTAATGAGGAGAATAAGTAAAAGATGTAATAAATGAGTAAAAAAAAAGAATATATGAGGATAAAATTAGAAAAAAATTTATTAAATACTTTGACAAAAATAAATATTATCTTATAAAAAAAATTAAGTCCTTCTAACAAAGTTTAGTTTGTATTTTGAGCTAGAGGAAGTATCATGGTAGGTATTAGCAATTTATGTACTATATTTTTGTGATATATTGCAAAAATATGTTATTAATACTTGTCATGATAGTTGTTAATCGTTGTGTTTTAAGTTGTTAATGATTCTATTTTTAGTTGTCAGTGCATATTAAAAAAAAAAGGCATTTTAATAATTAAACAAATAGAATCTCTTGTAATAAGGTTTCTTGGGGCCTTAGATTAATTTGATGATTTTAATAAACTTTTTTATATTTAATTCTTTTGAGTGGGATCTTATTGTAATTTTTTCTTAATTAAATTCGCATGTTTTGGTTAAACATTGTGTAAGGGTTGAGAAATAATCCCTACAGTTAGCTTGTTAAATATTTTTGTTTTATTAATGTTAATATCAAATTTTATATTTTGATATTGTTTAATTTTATGTTTTTATCATACCCTTGATATATTCTGGAGCAAAATATTTTTAGAGATGTTGCGGAGAGAACAATGCACATAATAGGATAAAAAAATAGAATATGATTAATTTCTCAAATTTCTACCCTGATGAAAGCATATAATTTGAGTAAATATTGTTTTTATATGTACTTTCTCATATATGTTAGGCTAGAAAGGGGTAGAGGTTTGATTTCTTCATGGAGTAAATTTAAGAGTTTATTTTGTCATTAAAATTATGGAACATCATTTTGCTCATTTATCTGAGATGAAAAAGAGGATCCTATCATGTTACCAAAAAAAAGAAGAAGAAGAGGATCCTATCATAAATTCTTCTGCCGAAAGAAAAAGTGCAAAACCAATGAATTTATGAGAAATTAGTAAAATGAAAATTAATTCATTGACTCATGAATCGAACAAATTCTTAATGATTATGAAATTCATGAGAGGCTTGGGGGGGGGTGTGAGAATCTTTTTTTTTTTTTTTGGGAAAAAGATGATCACCAAGGAAGATTAGAGCAGTAGAACTGCCTGGATGGGTTGAATTGCGCCTCATAGAATTACCCAACGAAAATGGAGCAAGCAAAGTGGGCCAATGGTAAATCCCATATTTATTCAAATCAACCCATAGTTCCATACCCTCCATTTTTTAAAAAGGGTGCAAGTACTGTAACATTGCCTCTTTGTCGGTGGATGTCTAGTAACCATGTACGTAAGAGTGTAATTGATGATTTATCACTCTAATTTACAATATTCTTTTCAGCATTAATGCAGGAGCCCCACGGACTAAAAAAAAAAAAAATTCAGGAAGATGATATATACTCTTTATATCCACTCTCAAACAACACACGTGTGCCTATATGTAGTGTGAATGAATGGTTATTATTAATACACAAATACAATACTAATAAATTAAAATATGTATTTTATTCATTTTCATTAATAAAAATAAAATAATTCGTGATACATATTTGTCTTTTTATAATAATTGTTTGGAATGAATCGTTATCAGAAGTGAGCATTGGTGATTTAGTTTGCATACAATATTAAGGATAGTTGAACTCATCAACACATAATACATATGAAATGTGTTACAAATATAAATTGCTTGCTTATATATTTTTTCCTTCGAAATTCAATATAATAGTGTGCTAATTTTACGTGGTTTCACTACATACAAAAACGTATATCAACTAAAAGTATTTACGAATCCTCCGGTCCTGAATATCACTTATTTTCTAATATAATTTTATGTTTAAAAATGAGTTATATTTAGGTACGAAAGAAAATACTCCTTCTTATTTAATTAAGCAATAACTAATTTTATAAATGGATGCGAGCATAGAGTTGATGAATTAGCGGAATTCAATTCACATATTGAATGAGTTGAATTGGATCAAAAGTCAGATTCACACGAGGACTCGCTCAAGTGTGAAAGAAATGCTCGGATTTTGCCGAGGGGGGCTTGCTAAAAATAATAAAAATACGGAGCAAATGAAAAATATGTCTCTCAGGTTTTTGACACGTAAGAGATCTCACGAGGACGCAGAAGAGGAAGGCCGCATGAGAGCGCGACCCTCGGGTTATCCTATTCCTATCCTTTCATCGCAACGCCTACTACTGGTCTTTCTTTGCTCATAGCCATTTTGTTTGCTTCTGTTCTGCCAATTAAAATCCACACTCCCCTCTTCTTCAACGGTTTCTGCTCATTTCCATCTTCCAGCAACAACACAGTTGAGGCTTCAGACTTCCCAATGGCGTTTCCGGTGGTCGACACTGAATATCTCAAAGAGATCGACAAGGCTCGCCGTGATCTTCGCGCCCTCATCGCCAGCAGGAACTGCGCTCCTATCATGCTTCGCTTGGCGTATAACTCTTTCTCTCTCTCTCTCTCTGTGTCCTGTCCTTTTTTATTCTTCCTAAAAATTTTTATACGCTGATTAACCTGAACGGTTTATTCGGATTTAACAATCACCTGAGCTTCATCTGTGATCAACGGAACTGCTGTGGATTATTCAATTCTCGATTGCACTTTTATGGCTTTTCCAGCAGTTCTTAAACATGGACTTTATCCTCTTTATTGTCATATGATCTTCCGATCTTTCTGTTTACTTAATCTGTGTGCTTGTGTAGTTGGCACGATGCAGGAACTTATGATGCCAAGACGAAGACGGGTGGGCCTAATGGCTCCATAAGGAACGAGGAAGAGTATTCACATGGCTCCAACAGTGGCCTCAAGAAGGCTATTGACTTCTGTGGTAAGTTTTACCTTCATACGCGACAGGTTAGAAACACTGGCAGTCGCATATGGACCTTTCTGGTTATAATCTTTGACTGTCGGCACTCTTTCCGGTTTATGGAGCTAATATTTCCGGTTTATGTGTGACACACCTGTCTAAGAAAATAACTGCGAGTATGACTGGTAGATTTACATAGAACTGTAGTTATACATTTACGAATCCAATTCTAAATTTATAGGATCTATTCCAGCATGCTACATCTTGCGATTTTCCCTAAACCTCAATTTTCTAATTAGTTGTCTCATTGTCCGATGTCAGAGGAAGTGAAGGTAAAGCGTCCAAAGATAACATATGCAGACCTATACCAGGTGATCATTATTTTCATTAGGGAAAATCTATGCTGCCTTAAATAATTTATTCGTATGCCTGAAGAATGAACTTATTTTTTATTTGAAGTGTTGAATGGACTTTCCATTTAGTTGATCCGTATATGATTTTACTAGGATTATCAAATCTTTCTCTTGTTGATCTTAGGTCCCATGATTGCTCCTTTCTGTTCAACGTCTGTGATTCCCAAATCTCAACTTGTATCAATGCTGTGCCTGGTCTTGCTTGGTGTTTAGATGCAATTAATCAATCCATTTTCATGTCTGTATTTTCCAGCTTGATCATTAAGTATTATTAGGTACACGGCTCGGTTTGAATATGCAGATTTAATGTGATATATGATGAAATAGCTGAAGTGATGCGAGGTGTCCTTATTCTGTCAGGTTTTTACGAGGGGCAAGCCTATGGTGTACGGGTTTCATGCATCCCTTCCTCTCTTATTAAGTTTGAAAACTCAAAAGCCGTTTTTGCCTCATCAAATTAATTTGATAATGGCTATTCTGTCTTTGTCTAGGGTGTCCAATTAATTTTTCTTGATTTCATTCACCTGGCACCCAGTTATCCCCTGGGCAGAAAGATGAAGAACAAAAGCATAGGGATAAAATAAGTTTCTTCACCCAGGGGTTGGTATACTACCTTGGACTAAATGGTCAAACACACTTCCATGAAGATTGATAGTTGAATTGAAACTTTTTCTTGGTACTTCTTTTTTGTTTGTTTGTTTGTTTTGTTTTTTTTTTTGGGAGGAGTACTGCTGCTTTTAACTTCAAAAATACACATTTTACATCCCCCCACCTCTTCTCTCGTGTCTAAATGATATTGACAGGGGCCTTGACCAGATTACCACCTCGATTATTTATAATTTACTTATAATTATATTCATTGAGCTGGGGCAAGCCAAAAAAGTCCTCAACCTTTTTGGCCTGGCCCAACGTAGACTGCTGGGCCCACCTCGCCCTTCAGTTTATGAGCAGCTTGGCAGGGAGGGTTATTACTTGTTAATTGCATAGATTCTGTGCCTTTTGCAAAGCAAGATT